GAATTAAGAAAGCGGAACCGGCTGTTCAAACCCCCACAAGGCTGCCCGCTGGGATTGGAACGATGGGAAGAGGTGTGAGTTTCTCAAAATGGGCTCATTGAGTCAGCACGGATAAGATCTTGGTGAGGCTACGGCTGCCGTGAATACTCAGAACAAGACCTCTGAGTGCAAACTGGATTACATCTGGAGGGGCTCGCTCGGAATAACATCTCTGAGCGCAAATTGGATTACATCTTGGGGAGGCACACTGTGGTCGTGAGTTCTCAGAATCGGCTCTTTGAGCACAAGAATGACAACATCACAGAGGCAAGTTTGATAACATCAGGGAGAAGCTCACGGCTCTCCAACGGGAGATTGAGAGACCAGTGTTGGACTGTTAAAACAGCTTTGAAATTCATATGAGCTGTTCACACTAAAGTAAAAAGCACCATCACTTCATGCGGATACCCTTTTGGCGCTGGGCAGGATGGCTGCTGTGTTTGCGTGTTTACTCCTCACCCCCCACCCAACCCTGTGGCTTGTCACGTGTTCCATAATATTGTGCTGTGGACATTTATGTGCTTTTTTGTGCAGAGGAGTTTTTTTGTTTCCTGTTCTCGTGCTGTCCTCCCAGGAGCCCAGCATGAGTAGAGGTCTCTTTTTTTCCTCTTGTACTTTCCCATTGTAGTGTACATTTCAGTGTTTTTTTTTCTGTTATGCTACCGATCTCCGACCTGTATCCCCATGTGATGTCTCTGTTATGTGTGTGTAAGGTCGGGGCAACCTGCACGTGGCGAATAAAGCCTTGATTGATTGATTGATATATTAGAATACAAATAAATAATGGAAAAGAATATACATTACACACACCAGAAGTAAATGGACATTTTATTAAATAATGCCTTCACTTATTTTTAATACCCTTTTTTGCATTTGTTTGCATATTAATTTATGTATTGAGAAATATTTATTTATACATTATGTTTTATTATTTCATGTCAATTTTCTGAACTTCAAATGTAGCGTTTTTATCGAAGGTTATCTTATTTTCAGACCCACATGTGTACAGGACTTAGGCACTTATTAGGCGGGATCGAGACTAATTAATTTTCTGTCAGCAACGATATGCGGGTCTTTTCTTGTGCTCTGTGAAGATGTTTTAAAAACCCTCAGAAATCCACAGCTTTTATATTTTTTACAGCTTCAGTTTTAAACTTTACTTAGTAGTGCACTTATCCGGGGTTATTAATACACATTTAGCGCTGTATGGAACTGAGTGAAAACAAACTGCATGTGTGTGTATAGTAATGAAAGAACATGCCCCTCAGGGCGGCACTGTGGCTCATAGATTGATTTAATAGTTTTTAGACAACCTAGCAGGATGTGTTAGGTTTGATTACACTCATAAGATTTGGATACATGTGTGGTTGTTTTTGGTCTTTATGTGTAATACTTGTCAATTATAAAGGTGGTAAAGTTTCATTTCCGAGCTTGAGACTTTCTGTCGATGGTGTTGACAAAACCTCCTTCCTTCCTTCACCTTTCCTAACACCTTTTCTTTTTTCCTCTTCCTCACTCTTTCTTCTTCTCTCGGTCGTTCCTCCCTACTGTCTTCATTTACCTCCTTTGCCTTCCTCCCTTCCTTCCTGCGCTTCTTCCAGACGACATAGCCGGGCCCCAGCCTGGGCCTTTCCTAGTGAGCGTCATGGGCGCCTCTCTGCAGTCTCTTCCTCTGCCTCTCCCTCCTCCTCCTCCTCCTTCCCACACTACCATCCAGCACAGTCTCAGCCTCAATGGTAAGATCTGTCCCGAGGGATGATGGGAATTGTGTTCAGAGATTAATGACTTCCCGCTCTCATTATAATCAGCTAATGTGCGTCAGTTAGTAGTATAGACATGTTTATGTTAAAAATGCTTCATCTGGCAACTTTAACATCTCTCATATAGATGCTTTCCTACGGGCCCTTCCTCATTCCAACCCATCATCAGCTGATGCTCCACCCCCCATCAGACAGGCCCCACCCCCCATGCTGTGTGCCCTGCGGCGGTCGGAAGCCAGCAACTTCACCGCCAGTCTGAGAGAACTGGAGAAGGTAAAATGATATTGATGTATCTTCTCATTGTATGGTCAACTATACAAAGTGTAACTTCCTATAAATCCATAAAATGTACAAGGTCTTTCTCTGTTTTTTGGGATGGCTTTACAATCTGCTTATGTAGAGGTTATTTCCAAAGGTTATTGATCAGAGAAAAGAAAAGCATAACTGAGAATGCTTCTCTGTTTGTTTGTTTGTTTGTTTG